GAGCATGCTCAAGTTTTCTCGAAGCACTCGCCTTATGTCAAGGTGTGCCAGTGTGCATCAGCGTGCTCATAAAGTATACAAAACGTACCGATAACTTTTTTGTTTTCTGTTTTTGCCAGATTTTTCGTATGTCAGGCATACGCTGGTCTAAATTGTCAAGGTGTGACAGAGGCTTTAGGGTCAGAAAAACTGAAGCTCTCAGGTTTTACTCACAGTTTTATCCCTCAGCACTGCCTGACAGGCCTGACAAAACCTGAAGGCAAAGAATGACACTTCAGGACACGTTTGTGGCAGTAACAGGACAGGGACGGGTGTCCGTGCATTACCTGATGTCTTGATGGTCCTCGGCTGGACTCTCTATAAATGGTTGAAGGGGAAAGAGGTGATGGAAGGATCTGGCCAGGTGTGGGGCGGACACCAGCGTCAAACCTGAAAGGAGAATGGTTAGAGCTGAGCTGTTGCTTCACACCGACAGAGACATGAGCGCAGATCACACCTACCGCACACTTTACATTCCACTGGCAGCTCTGTGTACTTGGCACGGCACTGCGGGCAGAAGTATCCTCCTAGAGACAGAGCCGGACCCCCGGCGCCGTCCAGGTGGCTGTGGAACAGACCCAGAGGGAGCCGCTGAGCCGAAGAACTGTTGGCGTACTGGATCTCTAGAACGGTTCTACTTACGACATGCTGAAGGACGGCCTGACGTCTGGGTCGCTCAGAAAGGCCACAGTGTGCTGAGGAAACCCTGAGCAGAAACAGACCCGTTAGCATCAGAACCGAGTCATCACATGAGAAACCCATCCGGGTACTGACCCATCCGTATCAGCGAGCATTCTGACGAGAAGCTGGCTGGGGGGGGTTTAACGTGCAGCATGAGCAGCTCTTTGAAGTGGCTCTCATCCAGGATGACGTGGTACGACCCGCCCGTCTCTCTGGTCAGAACCGTGCAGACCCGGACCTCCGCCGACAGCCCGATCACCGATACGCGAACCTTCAGAGACTTCAGGTTCTGAAAGAGTTGGGATCCGAACCAGAGTAGACTTAATAAACGACAGAACGGCACCAGAACAGGCTGAATCATGAGGAAGTTCTTGGTGGCGTCATTTGGTTCCTGCTGTTTGGACCTTCAGAAGGTTTCTCTGATCTACTAAAACAGATCAGAATTCATGCTGGGGTTCTACTAATTGGGTTCTACAGGTTGGGGTCTACTGAATGGGTTCCACTGGCTGAGTTCTACTGGCAGGGTACTACATGCTGGGTTCTACCAGATGGGTTTGGTTCTACTGTTTGGGT